TCTCAATGTAGAGCAGGCACACTCAAAACTGCCATTATAAACCCCAAAGTTGACGAGCATCTGTTAAAATCGATAAGGGTTGCGTGACCTCGCCATGGATAGGAAAAGATGATCAGGAAAGGACAACTTCCAAACCCTGTCATAGTCTCATTTTACAAAAGATCTACCACACAAAAGCCTAAACAGATGGCCTGACTTGGAGATTAAGATCAAATTATGGAATCTTTTACAAAGACCTCACTTAAAGAAGAACCTCACAGTCTTTAAGGAGGACCTAATTAAAAGAGACCTTAATCCAAGCTTCTCATTAAAGATGAGAATAAGTCTTATGCCTACAGTAAACATACAATATGCAAGGGTGTCTAGTCCTGCTTTAGGAGGCCCAATGTCCTATTAAATTTAGCTCCAACTTGCCAACATACTTGCCTATAAGTTTCTAGAGCTGCATCTCAAATGGCCCCTTTACTATCATTTACTATTCCCTACATTACTCTACTAATATTGTGCACCAAATGAAAACCAGTGAGCAAATTCACACCTTGAGTCCACCAGAGGTGCTGCGAAACTATAAATGTATAGGGGGTGATTTCATACACAGCCTAGTATTCCAGAAGACTGCGATTAGTTGCATCTGGTATATTCTATTAGGATTAGAGTAAAACTGTGCAGGACGGTTGCCCACCAGGAGCAGGATTGGACACCCCTTGATGAAATTTATGATGCAACCAAGGACGCATTGCATTCCAAGCGTTGTTGCAAAAGGGTAATCTTCAGTTTTCCATCTAAATGCAAAATTGAGCACTCATGAGGAAAGAAGGCTGATTTCAAATTGCATTGGACATCCTGCATCAGGTGAGTGACTGTAATTGAGATCAATGAGAACGCTAACACATAGCTTTCTTCAAATATTACCTTTATACACCTTTAAGCCACAAGTCTGGTTATATGAGACTAGGCTCTTACAATATTTCTGAAAATGATAAAACAAGCACAGACTTGATTAAAACTTACCCAAAAGCGTGAAAGCAGTTTGAGCACAGACGCTCTGGGCCATTTTGCTGCTGACTGCTGTGCTTACTGAGGTGATGAGGTGATGATCATAAATACTATTCAACATTTTGTGCTGTTAACAGGACCAGTTACGGCCCATTGTCCCAGGACGCCGAAATGTACGAGCCCCAGAGGCCAGTACACCCAGAGCCATCTAAGAGGTCTGCTTCCCATGCATGACAAGAAAAGCAGCTGCCCTGGAATGAGCTCAGAGCCTGGCTTCAGATCAGAGGAGCATCGACCCTGACACCACTGTAACAGTGCTTAGGCTAAAACATATGAATATGGAAGGGTCCAAGACTGAAGGAGAACTGCATACCAGAGCAAATATTCACTTAAAGCAGATCAAATGAACAGGATAGGCCCAGAAGCAAAGGAGAGATCAATTTAGAAACATGAGGAGAACAAACTATGAACCCACATTTGGCAGTCTGGTCAGGCGGCTGGCAGCTCTCTAAAGAGACAGATGGTCATTAGCTGGAGCAGGACAGGACAGTGAGCCGCCCCTCCCCCAAAAGGGCTGGACATCACGTGTCAGGGGTCCAGTGGATAGAACACACCGTGTTTATGCACACCTACTCTGCAAATTCACCTTTGCAAACATGACACCACTGGGGGACCTTCACATTATTATTGATTAAAAAAGCTGCAGGGCTGTTCCAACGCTTTGCATGCATGTGTGCAACAATTTCTTTAAGTTTGTGCTCTGCCGACCAGGAAGCCTAGGAATAAACTAGACAGTGACTTTGTTGTATAGTGCTTTCAAACAAGCTTTTTAAACTCACATGTGTGGACTGAGCTCATAGAAGTTCCTGTTGCGATACTCCTCCACCTTTTCTGCGGTGTAGATGGGCAGGGACTTGTAGGGGTTCATGGAGATCACCACACTGCCAATGTATGTCTGTGGAGGAGAGTGAAAGATGCAATAAACCACCGATCAAACAAACAACAACAAAATAAATACATAAATAAATAAAAACAAAACCTAAGAACAGATTTGTGAAAACACGTGAGATAAGAAGAGACGACATAACCAGTCATGCGATGGAAATAAAATTTAGAGAACAATCTATAAATACTTGATTTTTTTCTGAAATATTATTAATCTTCATCGATCAAAATTTGAAGGAATATTAGCTGTTGGTATACCGCCGTTCTACTAACATGTTTGACAAAATAACCAAAGCATTTCAACAAAAACCTTTATTTTGTGGAAAACAGTGATCAAAATTAGAGAACAGTAACCACTGTAGCACGACAGAAGATTACAACTAAAATTCTGGAGGGTTACAGCTGCCAAACATTAGTAGGACGTGTAGAGGCCCTAGCTTTAAATGACTTCACACATCTGCAGCCACAGGACATCACTAGTAGGGTTGCAAAAAGGTGAAAAATTTCCAGTAAATTTCGGAAATATTCCAGAAATTTTGGTAATGTTCCAGGATTTTTTTTTAATATTCCAAGGATTTTTGGAAAGTTTCCGGAAATTTACCGGAAATTTTCCACCCCTTTGCAACCCTAATCACTAGTCTCTCAGTCTGGTGTGATCTTGGTCCACTCGCCTTCATAGAGATTTTCAGTTGGGTTTAGATCAGGACTTTGGCCCGCCATTTCATTATTTCAATGTTTTCAGCCTCAAGGAACTGCTTTACCTGTTTTGCAGTGTGACAAGGGCATTGTCTTGCATGAAAATTGCAGGCTTATTGGGAGATGCTTGCAGGGAAGGAACTGCATGTTACTTAAGAGGGATCTGATAAACATTTGCATTCACGTCTCTGCCATTTAGCTGTATAAGTGCCCCAAATTCTGCTGTAGAAAACACCCCCCAAACCATGGTACTTCCTCCTCTACCTTTCACCGACTTCTATACACACTTGGGCTTCAGTCTTTCCCAAGTTTGACGCCGAACAATGTTTTCCATCTGACCCAAATAAATTAAACTTGCTTTCATCACTAAAGTGAACTTTGGACCAGATCTCCTCTCTCCACACAACCTGCTCCTCAGCAAAGGTGAGCCTAGCCTTTTGATTCTTTTTGCTGATGAGAGGTTGTGTCACTGCAGAGTGCACTTTCAGTCCGACTTCTCTTAAACGTGCCGAGACAGACCCTGTTCAGCGCTGAACTGGCAAGCAATTCCATCTGCAGTGTTGAACCAATTCCCCATTAAGAGTCTCCTCATTATCCGGTCTTCTCGTGCAATTGTCTTACGTGGATGACCAGCCTTTTGGGGGGACTTGAATGAATTAGTGTCATTGTAAAACTGCAATATTCTAGAAATCACAGATTTGGAATGGCCAGCTTCTCTTGCAATGGCTGAAAGGGTCATCATTTTGGCCTTTATCTGGGCCACCTCCTGTTAAAGGGTTTCAGTCACCCACCATCTTGCAATCTCAGTGAAAATTAGAGGAATGTTGCCATTTAAATAGGTTTTGTCATATAATTAAGAAAATTATCCCCAGGTGCCAGATTAAGACCAATAAGTTCTTTTTCAAATATCTCATTTAGGTTTTTTATACTGTGCTTCAGAATACAATTAATGTATGAAATATGCTTAAAAACTGCCCTTATACTTTGATAACTTCAAATAGGACTAAACAATGACCTTGAAATTTAAGAAATTGTAGGTAGTTCTCTAATTTTGATCTCCAATGTATATTCAGTCTACAGCAGTGGTTCCCAATCCTGGTCCTTGCGAAACCCAAAACTGCACATTTTAGATGTCTTCCTAAACACCCACACACACCTGATTCAACTCATCAGCTTATTAATAAAGACTCCAAGACCTCAGATGCGTGTCAGATAAGAGAAACATCAAAAACGAGCTGTGTTGGGGGTTCTCCAGGACCAGGATTGGGCACCTCTAGTCTACAGTATTGGTGATACTGAGCATACAAACTAATTGTGGTACCCAAGTGTTGTCACCGCAGACTGTATATGCATCATCAAGCCAGTCATAATGAAAATAATGGTGTGTTCCTACCATGAAAATTATGGCAAATGTGAAATTTCACTTGTACAGTTATCGTGACATCCCTAAAGGACACTGCACTGTATTCATACTCCCCTGCTGTGAGGCACAGACATCAAGCACATTCTCTGCTTCATTCTGTTGTAGGAACAGTGGCGGCAGCAGTGCTACAATATGCCTCCGTCTGCATGATCCAGATGGGAATTCCTGGGTATTGTTCAGACAGGCGGGGGGCCCGCAAGCAACCGAACAAGAGAACACAAACAAAAATGTTCGGAATCCCAGAAAGCATCAACAACACAGGGTGGTCAAAAGTGGCCAGCGAGGGCAACGGTGTCTAAAGTAGTCTATTTCAGATGACTCAAACAAACATCCTGGCTAATTTATTCCAAGCTTCTCTTGCTTTTCAAATCTTTCTTTCATTCTTGCTGCCACCAATTTCTAACCCATGATGTTAAAAGCAAATCTATCTCAATGTCTCTGGGACCTCAGAACAATGATTAATTCTTGCAGCCGTCTTCTACCTTTCATTACAGAGAGTGTTGCATAAGGCTTGCAGCCGGAGGATCAGGCCTCTCCCATGGCAACACAGCCCACAACCTATTGTCAAGTGTTCACAGGAGGCATAATGAATCCCTTAGATGTAGAGAACAAATGTAAATGAACAGATGAAGTGAAAATGACAGAAAAAAGAAATATAGGCCTATATCAGTAAAAGCGCAGAAGTCACCCAAGACATATGCTACCAGTCAAATGTTTGGAGTTTGCACACATTTGCAACAAATTAATTTATCTTTAAAGCTTTTTGAACCAGTGGCTTAATTCTTCTTTCACACAAACAGAACAGAATTGGTATTTCTTCATTCTATTAGGAATATATCAGAATCCTCCCAATCCCAGATGGATTTAAATACTGTTCACAATGGTGACATGTGGGGCACAAGAGAGACGTGACGGCTATGGGTGCATTAGAGCAGGACTAGGCCTGTGTAAATAATTCAATTGGCCCTTAAATGCATCTAAATGAGACCTGGTGGACATACATTTTGGAAGAACGAGCAACTGTGGATCAATAAAGAGCATCACTAAAAGAGTGAGCACACACAATCACATCTGTTCCTTACTACTAAATGTGCATATACACACACACACACACACACTCATAAACACATTTGTTCTTTCTTGAAGCCAATAACACTGAGCAAAGTTTAAAGATAAATACAAGGACATTTGTTTAATAATTCTACAGCTCTTATTGCCTGCTGTATTTGAAAATGGAACCCATCATAACTGTTTTTGACAGGGCATTGATTAGATAAGGCAGATAATTATCTGTGACATTCATTGTAAAGTTGGTGAAATGTAAGAAATAAGATGGACTGTGATGCAAGCTTCTTGGCATTTAAATAGATGATACTGCGGGTGGAGACGTTCCTAGAATATTCTCCATTAAGCCCTTTTAAAATATAAGTTTAAACGGATAATTCAGAAGTATTTTTCCACCTTCATATCATTTCAAACTTATTTTGTTTATTGAACACAAAAGGAGAGGTCTACTTTGGCAGAAAACATATGAGTGAGTACAGGTGCATCTCAATAAATTAGAATGTCATGGAAAAGTTCATTTATTTCAGTAATTCAACTCAAATTGTGAAACTCGTGTATTAAGTAAATTCAATGCACACAGACTGAAGTAGTTTAAGTCTTTGGTTCTTTTAATTGTGATGATTTTGGCTCACATTTAAGAGTTGAATTACTAAAATAAATGAACTTTTCCACGACGTTGTAATTTATTGAGATGCACCTGTAAATAATGACAGACTTTTAATTTATGGTTGCTGTGACTATAACTTACTAACAAGAACATTAATTGACCAGTTTGCACAAAGTGCAAAGAACATATAAATATACTGTGGTCTACATAATTTTGCTCTTGTCAGCACTCTCCTGTGTAATTTGGGGATTTGCATTACATACAAGGCTAGAGGTTGCATTACAAACTTGCAGCTACTGGACATTGAGGGATGTGGGTAGTTACACTCTTAATTACAGAGTAAACACACAACCTGTTTGTGACCAACTACATGATTTTAGTCTTTAATAACTGGTCAGATTACAGCTCTGCAAAATATAAATAAACATCTTTAAGGGTCCATTTTTATGGTGCCACACAAAATGTAAATCAGCCATTTGAAGGGGTCATTAAACCTTAATATTTCCTGATACTGAATGTAAATTCTCATTAAGCATGGCAACTAATGCAGCAATTCATTTGTTTTTCAATCAATTTATAGGTCCACACATACAGTATGTAAATCTGAACATGCTAGAGCTTTCTTCCAATTTCAGCAGGAAAAAAAAAATTTGATTAATGAAAATGAAGCATTTTTGAGCACTAAAGGTGCAGTCTATCTATTAGCAAAATGTCACTAGCAAAAAAGTCATATTGTCAATAGTGTAGCAATGTATGAAGCACAGTGGTGAAAGCTTTTACCCTCACTAGAAATTCTGGATGACTGCATTTCCTTGCATAACTTTACTGTACTGCTTTATATGACCATCTTAAGTGATTTCTGCAGTGGTAATGTCACCAAATAGTTTTGCAAATATAACTGTTTTCAAACAGGTTTCCTGACCACTCTCCCTATCTGCTATTGGTCAAACAAAAGACAGCCAATTGGATTAAGGCAATTTTGCTGTGTCAGACAAAGAGAACAATGTTTTAATAACACAACAGAGCCACAGTGCTTGTTTGTACCCGAAGAAAGGTAGAAAATCCTAAATTCTCCTAGATATCTGTTCACTTTTGCATATTCTGATTCATTAAACAACTATTTACAAATCAAATGAACCAATTTTGTATGCTGGTTTGGTGTTTGGTATGCAACAGCTTTCAAAACTGAGCCCAAATGAATGGGAAAGACATGAGAGCAGGGACAGAACAATGAGAGGGCTATGATTTACACTGTGTTCATCTCTACACTCCTATTTGTCTGTGAAGTGGGAACACACTCAGAGTAAACTTAGACATTCTTGATGTGATGTGACTGTCTGGAGTAGTGAAAGTCTAAAATGAGAGGACGACCAAGAAAAGGAAACAGCAATTGTTGCATGATGTTCTCAACATTAGTTTAAGCATTACTTACATAGATCTCGTTGTGATCGAATCGCTTCTTTAGATTCTCAATGAAGGTGTCTTCGGACAGGGGCTCAATGAGGACCATATCGCCCACCCCTATCATATTGTCGAGAAGTGATGTCTTCACCTCCATTTTGGACAACACCCCCTATAGAGAAAGCAAGACAATTACATATCAGATCAAGAGTTCTGTAGGCCTTGACTTAGACATGTATCTAGGTCAGTGGGGTTAATGTGTGTGTCTGTGTTTTTATTATTTCATACAAAATACATTAAAAATGTAGCTAATTCATACTGACAATGGTTTGAATACAACTCTTCGATGATTAACATGTTTTCAATTTCTGAATTTCAATTAATTTTGATATTTCTGTGGAGCAGGATTATTAACGTTAACTAAAACAATAAATAAATAAGTAAATAAATAAATCATGCCATGAAATAAAGTAAAAAAATTAATAAACAAATAAATAAACATTTCTCATTTTTGTTATTTTAAGTTGAAGTCCCAAAATAACTCAAATTTAAAAACGATATATAAAAAAACTAATAATAAAAAAAACACAAAAATACTACAATTACACACAAAAATGAAATAACTAAAACTTTAAATGAAATTTAAATAAAAACAGAAAACATACAAATAAAAATTTAAAATATTAACAAACACTAAATGAATTATTCTAAAATAAGGACTTTATGAATTTTATTGTTACCTATTTCCAAAAGCAAACCATAAAGCCGATCTGATGTTATTTGGGAAAGAAAAAAAAAAAAACTTTGTCAAATTGCAAACCTTATTGCTCATGTCACAAGCTTATTGTTGGTTGCACCACATTAAAAACACACACACACACACACACACACACACACGTGCAAAACCAACATTAATTAAAGCATGACGTTTCTAAGAATTTGGCACATGCTTTTTCAATGGAGTTTTTAAAGACTTTCTCCACTATTTTTTATACTCCCTTCTTTGTCATTGACCCATCTATAATTGCAAACCTTATTGCTCATGTCACAAGCTTATTGTTGGTTGCACCACATTAAAAACACACACACACACACACGTGCAAAACCAACATTAATTAAAGCATGACGTTTCTAAGAATTTGGCACATGCTTTTTCAATGGAGTTTTTAAAGACTTTCTCCACTATTTTTTATACTCCCTTCTTTGTCATTGACCCATCTATCCCAGAATTCTGTGCACTGTCCTTCTACAGTGCATTAATGCTGATGTCTGTTCATATGAAACCTTATCATCAGCTTCTTACACTTCTAACCTAAAATAATGCAAATAAATTCTAAAGTATTTGCAAAGCAGCACTTGACTGAACTGGCATGTTCAGTTCTGTTCAGGACACTACGGACACAAGATATTCCACTGGGAATTATGTAACGAAAGACCCTTGTCCCAGCTGATGACCCATAGATACTCCCAAGACGTTTATGGAGTGGAGGCATCAAAATATAGCTACTTTCTCACTAAACAAAGTGGACAGCAGAAATAAACTATGTAAATGTTTACTTCAAGCAAACCCATCACTGAATTGTGATTTCAGAGTTAACAGCTAAACAGTGAAACTGCTAGGGGCGGCGATTTTTCCCTTCTCTGGTCACTAATCCAGGTACCAATTGCATTCGTGGCCTTCATATGAGGCTCTACTGAGCCCCTAAACCCCCTATACACTGTTCAAACAAACAGGCAATGGGGCAAAGTGTAGTGCTCAACAAAAAGCTCCTCCAATAACAGCCCATGTTTTCACTCGGAGTAAAGAAACAAAGCACCCAGCATCACCAGTTGTAGTCAAAATACAAACATGGGCAAAGAAACAAGTCTTAAATAAGGGCAGACAGTATAACACAATGTGGTTTGTTGATAGCAAAAGCGTCATTTGCGTGCATCATGCAAGGCATAACTAAAAAAAAAAAAGTTGAAAGTAAATGAAGGATTAAGTGGTGAAAGCTAACGGCAGATTGGGCTGATAAGGTTGCCAGGATGTGTGTCTGCCTCAAGTCTCCTACAATTGCCTCAGATTGCTGCTGTGCAGTTCGATAAGCCTAATCTTTCTTACCTACAATTTAGGGCAGGGTTAGTCATCAACTCTAAGACTTTGCAGCCTTGATGTCAGAAATTAAAGAGCACAATAAATTGAAATGGGACATTTGTGGCTTTTTATCCACTAGTGTACTCCTAAACACTGAAAACCTTTATTTAGCAGATATACATATTTAAAACGTACAACAGACCAAAAATATGGAGTCGTCATCTTGCACAAAAAGGATATACAAATTTATGTCCGAATAAATACCCTCTCCAGATTGAGAATGTCCCTCCCCTATTACCAGTTGCCAGCAACTACCAATATAAAGTATCAAAATATGTCTCATAGCTGAAATACTAACCATTTAAAAAGGGATAAGCACTTTGATACATGGCGCCTATACTTCCTGTTTCAACAGGAAATAGATATACACAGAAATTAAAACTGTACTTGTCATTCCATTGGGTCTTTAGTTTTTGTTTTAAGGGGCAGTATTATAAAGTCAGTTAACTATAAAATAGTGTGGAGTCCAAAAATAATGAATAAATGAAATATTCAGAATCTAAACAATTAAGTTTATTAATTACATACTGGTAAAAAATGTATAGCCTGAATGCACTGTAAGTCGCTTTGGATAAAATCGTCTGCTAAATGCATAAATTATTATTATTAAATTATTGATTACAAAAATCATAATGCATGTCTTTCTTTCTTGGAGTGTTTTATTCATGGTCAGGAGTTTTTTTGTTTGTTTTTTTTTAAACACACATTTACATTACCTACACCATATATATATATATATCACTCACCTCAGAGACAGATATATCTGACATATCTGTAAACTACATAACCCTAACTAAATACTTTACACCAAGAATAGACTTTTAGGAAATGTCATCAAAATATTTAGGGCTCTATAAAATCATTTTTTTATTTTATTTTATCCATTTTAACTTTTCTTTATAACTTCATACAAATTTGCTATCAAAAATGATGGGAATCAAATGAAGGCATAAAATGCTAACAATTTAATGAATATTGTAAAATGCAATCAAATGCAAATTTAACAATTCCTTTTATTTTTGTAAAACAAAATACAGTACATGTGGGTTACTGTTAAAATTAAACAGCTGAAAAATTGGACTGAAATTGTGAGGTTTGTATATACAACAGATCATACTTTGCTACCACATTTGTGATTAATTTCTGCACTCTAAACACTTACATACATTATCAAAGAGCCTCTACATTACCTCTATGATCCTGCCTGCTAATAAATCACAGTTATCCCAAGCCAATTGCTAAGGACAGAACAATGAAGTTCTTTATAAACTTTTTCTGTTTTGCATTATCTTTGCTTTCGAGTAATAGTGGGGGAAAACCACTCATCTCTATGTCTAGCTCAATTTGTGTCTTGGCAACAGCTGTAACCTGGCAGCCGGGGATATGATCAGTTACCTGTGAAACAGGACAGAGGGGAAGACCACGGACTAAAGGTCAGACAAGACATGAAGAAAGCCTGGATGCATCCAGCGGTTCCAGAGTAAAGAGAATAATTCCAGGGCTCACTCCCCCGCTGCATAGCAACTCCTGGCAAAATCTACTAGTCTCACTGAATACCAGGCTGCTCTTGAAGGACAAATGATTAGCCAATAAACATTCCGAAGTGTTTTAACTATCTGATCAGGTTTGTGTTTTCTTTAATTCATGATTACCAGATTTACGGGTAAAGATTTGGTTTCACATAGACAGACTTTTTTCAAGAAAAGCTTAATTTTTTTATGTTATTTTATTTTTTTTGGCATGGTGTTCTGCATGTGATGTTTGCTGAACAGTTGTTAAGGGAGATCTAGATGTTTTATGTTGCACGCTTGCCACATGGCACAAATGGACAGTTTATATTGTGGACTTTATACAGGAAGACCAGAATACAGGCCAGGAGGAAACCAGGTAATAAACAGGCACCACCAAATATGTGGTATTAAATCTGCAAGTGGTGTGGTTGTATGTCTCTGAACATAACATTTATTTCAATAACACATTTTCTAGCAGGAAAAACTACAGTCAGGGGGGAAAAAAAACACCAGAATGTGAATCCCAGCAAAAGTGGAAACTTGGAAACTGGTGTTCTATTAGAATTTCCAAAAGCTCAGTGTGATCCTCAGCAACTATAACTGCATATGAATGTGTGCTGGTAGCCTAGTAGCCCAGATTCCCCCACTGACATAACTACATCTGAAACAGCACTGGAGCACGTAGACCATAATATCTTAAATCCTTTAGTATCAATCTACAGATCAAGAGAGGAAGGATTATTTTTTCCTGATAAGGACAGAACATCATGTGGATTTTTTTAAGCATCGCCACATTTTGAAAAACTATTGAAAAGCTATTTTAAGTTTGAGACAAAGCATGGTATTTAATCCAAAAAGCAAGGATTTTGGTTAAAACGGATATTTGACCATGTTTATAATAATTTTGAATATGCACAATTGATAAAAAAAAGACATAAATCACACCTGTAAAACAGACTGGATTCAGGATGGAAGCAAAAAAAAAAGTGTTGCTCAGATTTCAGCTTCTAAATTTCCTTGCAAAATTACTAAATATAACTATTTGCCATGCTATTTCTGCTATGAGCATATACTCCTCCTGATTAGGACTATATTCATTTTAACGTAGTCTATTTTTACGATCTAGCTTGTCTGATTTAAATTTCATTAGCAAAAACCTGTTAATGTGTTTAAGTTTGATTCATTTCTGTGAATCAGTTCAAACTGGCTGTTTTAATAAGTCAGTTCAAAACTCCGATTCAGTGATTTTTCAATGTTACATTTCAAAAATGCTGTAAGTGTAAGTATTATGTGCTTATGAATAAAAATGAACTATTCTTTGTTGTGTTCATGTAGGTACTGTAAGCATCCAAACAGGTCAAGTCTTTATTATTTTAATTAGCCTACATTTAAAAAGAAAGAAAGAAAGAAAGAGAGAAAGAGAAAAGAAAGAAAGAAAGAAAGAAAGAAAGATCTAGACTACAATGGCTATTTGTTTGAATGATTGTTCTCCTTACTTTTTAAGCAAATACATAAACATTAAGATATGTAGGCTATTGAACATCATCAAGACTATGAAAAAATATTGTGATAAATATATATATTTTAGCTATACTGCCCCACCCTGCTACAAAATACTTCCTATTTTCACTATTGCAAAGGAATTGTTGCTTTAAACAAGCGGGTCACGCAATGTTTCCATATACAGTGCATCAGGTCAGACATGCTTTCCTGCTCATAATTGGATGCAGTTGATGTGCATTAGCAAATAAAGGCATCATTGTTGAAGCCAGATTTCAGATTCACCGCACCGAGCTCCTCACAACTCTGCACAAATCCACCAGATTAAGCCGCGTAGTATTTTTAGTTACACGACTGCCCTAAAAATGAAGCCACCATGTGCAGCATCAGCATTAGTATTTCTCTGGACTGACCGGCTGTCACCTTTCAAAACTGGCCCACACCCAAAACTCTGCATCTGCCCTACATTTCTAAGTGCGATGCCAATAATATATCATTTAAAATTCCTGGATGGGAGCCACGTGTGATTTTCCACTCGCAGACAAGGTAGAGCAGAAAGTCCCTCTTTTCAACGTTCCTCCTGAAACACCCAGAGAGACGTACACTAAAACAACTCCGATCAAACAGACCCTCCATTTACATTTTATAACACACATTTAAGGACAATTCAGCTCAGTTTCAAAACCCATGCCCTTACTCAAGCTCAAAGAATCTGCAAATGCAGAACTAAAACGTTAACCTCACAGTTAGTGATGCCAGTGGAACAAGTTAACAATATAATAGGGTTTAATCGAGTACAGACCGCTGAATAAAGGGCCAGACACATGGCTGGTGATGGCAACTACAGACGAGCTCCAAATGAAACGATGGGGCAAAGCCATTGTGGCTATTTGGGAGTACTTGCAAGCATGCTCATTGCTCACTGACCTGAAACACTGCTATGTGAGTCTGCACCGTTTCCAGGGTAAACCCTCGGATTGACTTTCCACAATCCCACGGGAGCCAGGCTTGGCAGTCTAGAACGCATCTCTGAATCCCATCGCTGGGATCTTTATCATTTAAAATAATTATAACAGTAATAAAACTAAAATTTGTGTGACAGGACCATTGCTGATTCATAACGCCAAGTGTCTCGCCTTAGCGACTAATATACTATGAATTTCTGCTAAGCCAGCATAAAAGCTCATATATGTCCAAAATAAGCCTATGAAGTTAAAGAGCTTTCAAAGACATGTCAGGATAGAATGAGACAGATCGTGGTGCTCAGTATGATGGCTATACATTCAACACACTCTTGCATACACACACACACATCTTCCAATATTCTCCTATGAGGCCTGTCTGGGACAGTGGAGTCATCTCAAGTCTGTTGCTCTTATCCTAACTTCTTATTCATGAGAAGCTGCTGGACACTCAACAATATTATTGTGTTATGGTTGAACTTTACTTTTCAAGTGCCAATGACACCAACCCATGTAAAAAAAATAAATGAAGAAGAAGAAGAAACTTTGTGCATGCAAGGCAATGTTTTCTCTACTGTTCACACAGGCTATGAATGAATGAATGAATGAATGAATGAATGAATGAATGAATGAATGAATGAATGAATGAATGAATGTATTTTATTTGCACTGTGGCAAGTAATAGTAGGCATAAGGACTTTACCTCTTATCTGTGAAGAGTTCTCAACAACCAAACGTTCATCATCCCTATCTGTAAAACTAAACACAGAGACCTTGATAAAAAGGGGCATTGCTTTAGAGAAAGTGACTCTACGAAGCCTGTGAGACCCAACCCCCTCAAAAAGTCAACAATTCTCTTCAGCCTCTCACATCTGTTGATTGTGGTTTGCAAAGCACCTTTCCAGAGAAGAGCGCTGTACTTGTAGGCGTTCAGTGGGTGGACTAATACATAAGCTTCAAGAGAGGTGAGCAAGGTGCAAAGAAATTGCATTACATACAGTACTTGTAATTTCTGCAAAGTTTACTGCTAGAAAAAAAAAAAGAAAGCGAGACTTTGTGAACTCCTTGTTTTATGACAACAGATAAATCTGATTTTGAGAAATACTTGCTGCACATTCACTACTCAGTGTTAAGGGAATTATTCAGAAAGTTACAGAAGACTACAGTCAGCCAGCACATAAAGCCCACGGTTTCCAGTTACACTGATTAAATACATTACACCAAACCCAATATGAGCAGTTTTTTTGGCAATGACTGTTGGCCGTGAGTGGTTTCCATAGACCATAAACTCGGTTCACTGAGAGTGTACGTTCCACAGGCAGCAATATGAGTCTCTAACATGACAGGAGGCAATTTAATTTTACACTAACGAATATGTTTTTTACTTTTTGTGTGCTTTATGTGAAGAAAAATAAATGGCTCCCTCCATTTGACTATCTATCCCATCAATCATTAAAGGGGTGGTTGATTGCGATTTCACTTTTTTAACGTTAGTTAGTGTGTAATGTTGCTGTTTGAGCATAAACAATACCTGAAAAGTTACGAAGCTGAAAGTTCAATGCAAACAGAGATATCGTATTTTCAGTCTCATAGCTATGAGAAGTGTTAAACATGACGTTTAGACACGCTCTAGAGACGGTTGAGCCAATCACAACACACTGGGCTAGCTAACCAATCAGAGCCCATAGCCTATTTCTGAGGGAGGGGCTTCATAAAAGAAGGAAAAGATCAGCCCGTTTCTCAGAGAAGGGACAGAGCGGTGTGGAATAAAGGTAAATTATGTGAAAAATAATGCGTTTTTTAAAAAACGAAGCATTAACATGTTAGACTGCACCCCATAAACACAATCAAGCTTAGAAAAAACCAGTGAACCACCCCTTTAAAATAGCACTAACAATTGCTCCAATAAGGAAGCTTCCACGGTACTAGGCTACTTATTAATAAATCAAACCAATAAAGTTATTTTAGTGTCCTAGTAAAAATCATGTTAGATGAAAGGGAACATGATCACAACTATTACGCATTTAAAGTCCATAGGTTTTAAACATTTCGGGAAACATATTTTCAATGTTTAGCAAGAGGAGAAAATAAAGAAAGCAGGGTAATGATATTTTCTGAAGAAAATGCAGCTGCCTGTTGCACACTGCCACAATGATGTTCTGAGTGTTCAGGGCTTTGCTATGCAGTTTCTAAAATGTTTAGCATCATTTTAGCATGTTGCTATACAGTTGCTAGGGCAGGGGTTACCAAACTTACCAAACAAAGAGTTTAGCTTTAACCCTAATCAAACACACCTGAACCAGGTAATCAAGGTCTTACGAGGTATACTTGAAACTTCCATGCAGGTGTGTTGAGACAAGTTGGAGCTAAACTCTGCAGGACAACGGCTCTCCAGAACCGAGGGTATTCTGCGTAGTTGTCAACAGTGCTGGGGGTAATGCATTACAAGTAGCACAAGCTACGTAATCAGATTAATTTTTCAAGTAATTTATAAAATAATGCATTACTTTTAAAATTACAATACAATATCTGAGTTACTTTTTTAAACAAGTAACACAAGTTACTTTGTTTTCCCATTTATACTGACACCTCTCCTGTCCTTGTGTTGAGAGAAATTGGAAGTGAGTGAGGTGCAGAGGCACTGGCACTTTCTTCAGGCTGAGGCTTATTAATTTCACTTTTGGTGTTAAAGGGCCTTTACAGTTGTAAAGCAAAAGTAACGTAATGCATTACTTTCCAAAAAAAAGTAATGCAATTAGTTACTTTTTTTATGGAGTAACATATTGTAATGCATTACTTTTAAAAGTAACTTTCCCCAACATTGGTTGTCAAGGTGTTGCTGTGGTTTCTACATGTCCCGAGTAACTGAACAAAATCTGATCACTTAGAAAAGTAACAGGACACCTTTTCCAACAATGATTTGAGGTATCATGTATCACTCATGTCTGTAGCCCAAACAGAGAGGGACGAGTTACGTGTCCAAGTTTAACAGGTTTAGGAGTTGAACAATACTTTAGCCCAACATCAGACGAGCAAGAGTGATGTTTGCCTTAGCACTTACCGCTAACAAGTGAGGAACAATGAGCAAAAAATTGGCGGAAGGACACTGGGTTTTGTTAGATTCAGCTCAAACTCAGCAGGCTTCAGGCTTCTTTGTCTCTGCCACTTAACTTTGAGACCATTTAGACGTTCACCGCCCCGTGTGTGTGTGTGTGTGTGTGTGTGTGTGTGTTGCCATCTTCACCATCCATGCAAACACTGTTGCGCTTTTTATATCTTATCATTAAAGTCTCCGGTTAATGCGCACGTTGCTTAGCGATTGAACCAAACATGAAACGTTTTATTAATCGAGGCTCACGTCTATGTTTCCTTCATTAACTTCTTCGGGTGGACTACTTCTTTAGCTCATTTAGCCGGTTTGCACTCTAAATAAAACTTCAATCCTGTTTTCTTGTGCATTAATGCAACTGAGAGAGTTTGTGCATTCCAGCCTGTTTGTTTGTTTAACTTTAGAGAGACACATCCTTTGTGCAACAATAACTGAAAACAAAATTGTTCAGAAGGTCCCATTTAGATTAAAATGAAAATAATTACACTCGGCGTCTCTTTCGGATTATTTCACAAAATGAATGAATGAATGAATGTGCAGCGAATCGAAGTTCACCGCTTATTGGCAACCCAAAATAATTTCATCCAGAAAGAAAAAATCAACTTTTCAGTGAATGAAAACGCAACTTGCCTCAGTTCTTGAGTAAAATGTCCCTTTTAATCCACTCTTGATGGCAAATGTCCCGCTCTAGATAAACTGGAAGAGGTGATTCGCGTGTCCCCTTCCCAGCGCTTTTGTTTGTCTGTCTGTGTGTGTGTGTGTGTGTCCCGTGAGCAGTGTAGGGACGCAGAGAGACTGACTGAGACTTCTGCTCCTTGAACACGGGGAGTGGTGACTGGAGTCCCACTGTGATAATCACCTTATCCCAGAAAAACGCCCATCTTCTCCAACCCATTGAACTGAACTGCCCCAACTATCAGTAACATAAGTATAAAACTAATTGATATATACTGCCATCATGCGTCGTCTTGATGAAATTGCATCAACATTGATTCAGGAGCTTTGTTTGCAAGTTAAAAGTTTGGATACAACTAGTTTATTATTAGGTTAATGTTTTCTCCAAAAATATATACGGTAATAGAACAAATGGAATTATGCAAATTGTATATAGTGACCATAAGTTCAGTCGTTGTGTGGACATTCTTCTTCCTGTTTCTCAACAACGGAAAAACTTGGATTCTGCAGGATTTGTTAGCAAACCATTTGTGCTGTAGGCTACTGTTGTGTTCTGGACTCCTCGGTAGAAAGAAAGGGCACTTTAGTGTTACCGTGGCCAAAGGGGGGCAAAAAAGGTTGAGAACCACATTATCTTCAGGAAATACATTGTATTTAATGGTTTTTTTAATCCTTTCCCCATTTAAACCAAGAGAGAGTAGAGAACCCTTAAAGAAGCAATGAAACCTATGAGCAGAATGTAGCTTATAGGAGGCTTTCACTTTGAGTAATCACTTTGGTAATCTAAAACACTTTAATTTTGACATTAGCTTTCTTACGCTGCCTCTTATTACAAGCTGCCTGCAAGTACCTTCTGATATATGTTTACTTATGTTCTTAAATATCCTTTTTTTAAAAAAATTTTTATATGTTGCCTTTTTTTTACATGTCGTTTGTGTAATGTGTTGAAAAAGTAGTTTTTGTTTCAGATTGAAGACATGAAGCAATGGCTCTGTAATGGCCATGGCAGGAACCCAATGCCACTTCGAGCCCCCAAGAGTTTAATTTGGAAAAAAAATAAATAAATAAATTGCGCCCAAGGACCAGACCCTTTTCCATAACTGGTTTAAGGTAAATTATTTTTTAAGATTTTTTACATTTTGATTCAAAGGAAGTTGCCAAATCAAATCTGTTCAAATATATTTTACATTTACATTACATTACATTAGCAGATGCTTTTATCCAAAGCGACTTACAAATGAGGACAATGGAAGCAACCAAAATCAACAAAAGAGCAATAATATGCAAGTGCTATGACAAGTCTCAGTTAACCAGTACATGTAGCAAGGTCTTTTTTATTATTATTATATAATAAACAGAAAGAAAACAAGTATAGAATAGAGAAAGATATAGTGTTAGAGGCTTTTTAAGAAAACAAGCAGTTAGAAAACAAATAGAGTGCAAGTCTTAAAGGGTAAGTTTAAAGGGTAAAGTTTTAAATAAATAAAAAACTAATAGATAAAATAGAATTAGAATAGAGAGTGCTAGAGTTAGAGGTTCAAATAAAGATGGACGAGTTGTGTTTTTAGTTGTTTCTTAAAGATGGCTAAGGACTCAGCTGCTCGGATTGAGTTGGGCAGGTCATTCCACCAGGAGGGAACAGTTAATGTAAAAGTCTGTGAAAGTGATTTTGTGCTTCTTTGGGATGGCACAATAAAGCGCCGTTCACTTGCAGAATGCAAGCTTCTAGAGGCACATAAGTCTGAAGTAGTGAATTTCATTCCACCAGGAGGGAACATTTAATTTAAAAGTCCGTGAAAGTGATTTTGTGCCTCTTTGCGATGGCACAATAATGCGCCTTTCACTTGCAGAATGCAAGCTTCTAGGGCACATAAGTCTGAAGTAATGAATTGATTTAGGTAAAGGGGTGCAGAGCCAGTGGTGGTTTTGTAGGCAAACATTAATGCCTTGAATTTTATGCGAGCAGCAGCCGCATTCTGTATTAATTGTAAAGGTTTGATAGACCTGGCTGGAAGACCTGCCAAGAGTGCATTGCAATAGTCCAGCCTGGACAGAACAGGAGCTTGAACAAGGAGTTGTGAAGCATGTTCCGAAAGAAGGGGCCTGAACTTCTTGATGTTGAATAAAGCAAATCTGGAGGACCAGGTAGTTTTAGCAATGTGGTCTGAGAAAGTCAGCTGATCATCAATCATAACTCCAAGGTTTCTGTCTGTTTTTGAAGGAGTTATGGTTGATGTGCCTAACTGGATGGTGAAATTATGATGAAGTGATGGGTTTGATGGAACCACAAGCAGTTCTGTCTTGGCAAGGTTGAGTT